CAGTGGGGGCCTGGGCTGCAAGACAAACGTTCCAAGAAATAAAGTGTTTGATGAAAGCATACCAGCAGCTCAATAATGAATGCTTTATGAAACTGGCTTTTCTAGAGAACCTCTCAAAAAGAAATGCCCCTCAGTAACCAGACTGCAGCAGTATGCGTAAAGGCTGTGGGCAAAAATGCAAGACCCAATTATGTTCCTTTCTACATGGTCAATCTACAAATGAACTAGATGACTGAGGAAACTCACACAAAACACAAATAAACAATGCATCTCTCAGACATTGTTCTAAAGACAACAAAATCAAGAATAATACAGTTCACACTGCAGCCTTTTGTATTCGGGCCTAATGGCCCAAGAAACTAAACTACAAATATGTTTACTACCTTCCAGTACCACAAACAACACTTCATCTAATCCCTTAACAACATTGTCCTCAGAGAGTGACAGGCTTACGTCATCTATTGTGAACATCACTTCCTCTGAGAGGGTGGGGGCAAAAAAGCTAGGTATGGTATCACGGAGTCAAATGTGCTCCAATATCAAGTTTCAAATAAGGTCAACACATGAACAAGTAAACAGTTTTTTTTGTTTTTTTACACTTCCAGCCCAAAACACCACCAATTTAAAAATCTGTTTTTTAGTTTGTGCATAAGAAAATTGTGTAAAAGGATGTGAATGATTTCAAAACTGCACGTCTCAGAAGATAAACAAAGGTCCTGCACCGAGGACCAACATTGGAGCAAGATGATATAAACTCTAAATCATGCTATAAGCTACTCTAAATCTGGCCATGCAGGCGATGTGCCTTTAAGATGGCTTTGTTATACACCAGCTTCTCTTTGGCATTGTCCTTAATGCAAAGACTCAACATCTTTAGTTTGCCATCAAGGCCAAGCCTGATGAGAATGGGTGTATATCATAGTACCATCTAAACTCTGCAAATGATATAATATGATTAAGTAATGTCAACAGTGTATTTGGAAGATGAACAAAGGCATTACAGGTATGTCTGGATACAGTTCAGCTCAATCACTTCCCGCAACATAACAGAGCTGTTGCGACATGCCTACTTCCCAGTTTCATACCAGAGGCCAAGCATTAGCAAGCTGTGTCAGCTCCTGCCTCGGTGAGAAATCGACACCAGAGGTTATTTCTAGCTGTGCAACAAGATCATATTTTCCTCAAAGAAAGCAAAGCGCCAAACCTGTTTTCATGCATCCCAGAGATTATGAACACATGGCTGATCAAGACGGCACATGTTGGAACGTTTGCCGCTTATCAGACAGAAAAGTGGTCACTTACTGGATGGCTTGAACACAGGGAACAGTAAATTTCTCAGGTGTTTAGAGGTGAATATGCTATGACTTTATGAACCAGTCTCCCCTACAATGACTGGAAGTGCTTGGTATGCAGTCTGAACCCTGACAAGTGGCAGGAGAGGTAATGTGAGCAAGCTTCACATTTGTGAATCAGATGCCCTTGTGGTCTTATTTGGACATTGGCTAACGTCCATCGAGTCTGATCCACTGACAGTGTCCCTTTGAGCCTTTAATCTGCCCTCTGGCTGTAAATTAATGCCAGCTTTCCTTTACTCCAATGGTTATGCACTTGTCAAACCAGCCCCTGATCTGGTCATTAACCAGAAAAAGTCACCCATCACTGGAGATGATTTGGCCTCCTTGAACCAGTCATGAAATGACACACTGCCAGAGAAAAAAAAAATAAATTAAAAAAATAAATTAAAAACAAAACCCTAAGCAAAGGCAGTGGACACCATTAACACTTTCACTTACTCTCACCTTACATTAAAGAATCAGTACCATTCTTACCTCTATAGGTGACATAACCCAGGTGATTTTAAACAATCTATTTGTTTTACAGTGGACAAGTTCCACTAAAGTCTGGGAAGCAAAAAATTATTATGACACACGGTACAAATCTGCCTTTAAGGTTTCTCCTTGTTAAAGGTTGTTTAAAACGTGCATTTCAAACCAGCTAATTTTGCTAGCAAGCAAAAACCGAATTTCTCACAAGAACTGAACCCACATGGATTTTTCAGAATCCATGCCGCCCCGGGTCCTCCCCCCCCCCGTCTTTAAACGTAACCAAGTGCCCCGCGGCACAACGTAACAGGGAACCCTCTAACCAATCAGAGCAACTAGGAGCGAGAGCACCGCGTGGCCGAAAACGTGAACACGACTTTACGCAGTTTCTCTCTGGTTAAACAGACAGCGGTAACAGACCTGGGGCCAGCCTTTAGCAACCGCAAGGGCAGAGGGAAAGGTTGACGGTTTTCCCCAATCACTTATGAGCCTTAAAAAGTAAAGAATTGAAAAAAAAAAAAAAAAAGGTGGAATTGGAATACTTGAATCTATTTCCGTGCCAGCAAGGCACGCGGTGACAACGGACGACCACATGTCTCACATGCCCCCCTCGTTGTAGAGTGACGCAGGAAAAAATAAAGCATATGTAATTACAAAGCCCAAGCAATTTAGTGCACACGAGCACGAATATATATAGCAATTGGCAAATAACGACAATAAGATCGTCTCATCACTAAATCACAAGCAGTCTGAGAATTCAGCGTCGGAGAATTCAGGAGACGGCTGATAATTTGAATATATATTTTCCTAGGGACTAGCTTAAATGAAGTAGCTCTAAATTGGCTGTCATGGTAGCGTCCAAGCCTCATGCGACAAATCATCTCGCAAAAACAAGCGATGGGAGCTGAATATATTAATTACTGCAAGCTCCCAGGGTGAAGAATGAATGACTCAGCCACTGTTAAAAGGGGGAGGTGTCCATTTTCCAATGGCGACGTTAGCTAGCTCCCCAGCTTAAGGATCCACGGTTAGATTTGGTTCACTTCAATGCTTGCCGTCTATGAAGGGGTGGATTAATAACTATAAGGAATACAGTGTAAACGGAAACGGGACTGTACAATATTCAAGTTGTTATACATCTCAAAAAGTGACCACTGAAGCCGTGCATGTAGCCGGTGTTTCTGTCCATGTACCACTAGGCTGCTGTGGACTGACACTGCCCCGGAGACACTCAAGTAACACGAACCTTGGGATGGTACGGAGGTCTCCGTTTCCTTTGGTCTCATCCTGCCGAGAGAACCACACCTCCAAGAGCTTCTCGGTCCCCTCGAAGAAATGTGCACCGTTATCTTCCATCGTGAGACAACAGACACCCAACAACCAAAAATATTACAACGTCGTTTATAACGTTTACAGCTTAATTACTCCTTCCTCGACCTGTTATTATTTCGCGAGGTTCAGTCCTTAAAACAATCCAGGAGTTGATTTGCTTGAGTTACCGTCTTCCCTTTAGCAGAGAATACCGTTAGCGAGCGCTAGCTAATATCGCCGGCCATACTGTGTAAGCGCTGAATGGAGACCGCGCGGAGCTTTTATTTGGCAATAGCCCTACGTAAGCCTCACCTCGAGCCAATCTGAACGCGAAGCCATATCTTGGGATTTGTGATTGGTCAGAAACCTATCAATTATAATAGAAGGCGGGTCTTCCGTCATGAAACTTTTCCGCCTGCATGTAGCTTTCCTCTGGAAACACATACTAATTATATATATATATAAACAGCAACATCAACATTACATGACATCTGGATTTAAGTTTACGAAGGCCAGTATGACAGTTGACGGCATGTTCGTGTAAAAGTCCTTTTCTGATAAGTTTTCTTCTGTTCACGACGATTACGTAACTTTTTTTCTAACACAAGCCATTGTGTTTACTTATCACATTAATTTTTCGTATGTACGCTCTCTCTTTTTTAAGCTGTATAATTTGTTTTTTCACTTAATGGTACTATAATACTGATATTAAACTGCGAATATCAGATATAAACCACTTAAATGAGAATATGACCAAGTTGTTAAATTGGATTGAACTAAACTGGACTGCGCAGGTATTCGTTTTAGCAAAAGAGTGTACTTATAGAAGGAAAACAGGTGAAAGAACTCCCAAAGGATATTACATATCTACTGTATGTGTTACAGGACTTTTCTCATCTCATTGTGTTCCGGGCAGTGGGAACTCACACATACAATTGTCACCCAATAGAATGACAGTAATTAAGTATGAATCACATACATATGACATGACGTCACTCATCTACATATACAGGTGTGTGTGCATGTCAAAAACCTATCGATTATTATAGAAGGCAAGGGTCTTCCATCATGATATTTTGTTTTTTCATAACCTTTATTTATGGAAGACATTTCATATGTTTACCACTAACTGCACTAAACAATTTTCTTGTTTTTCTTTTTTTGGCTGACTGTAGTTCACAAAAGTAAAAAATGAATCTAAATCTCTAAAGAAAACTGTGTCTTAAAAAGAGATGCAGCGACCTACTTAAACCCTTAGATGCTTATCAGAAAAAACATCAGCTAAAATAACAGTTAAGAAGTTGGAAAACTCATATTATCCCCCGAAAAAACAACCCCAGAAACACCCAGGATGTTTGCACATATCCTTAAGTTACACATAGCACTTGATATCTTTAAACAATTTGTAATAGGTCCCATACCCTTCGGATCACATTGAGTTTGGTGGGAAGTGGTCACTCTAACTATATTAAATGAATACACTGCATATGTACACAGTTGTTCAGCTTTTGCAATACCATTATTATTATGACCATTAAATAATAATAATAATAATAATAATAATAATAATAATAATAATAATAATAATGATGATGATGATGATGATGATCCAGATAACGAGGATCCGTTTAGCTCATTTATTTATTCATCTTACGTGACGTTAAAAAAAGGTAACCTCAAACCACCGACGGCCGCATTTTTGAAGAGCTTTCATGAGTACGCAAAGTGCAACGAACAGCAGCGAGAAACGCGGGTTGTAGTTTGCCATAGCTTGCCTGACAACGCGGCAAACTGCGGCGCCTGCTCATAAGAACTACCATACCCAGCGAGCCACGCGCGCCAATTAGAAACGTCAACGAGCCAGTGAACATTAAGCGGAGCAGACCAAAATCCCAAACAAGGAAATGGTGGGGGAATAAAACGACCAGATTATTTAATTAATGCATGTTATAATTAATATTTTATTTTATTGTAAATTAAGGCGTATTTATGGGTTAAAATGGATTACGACTTCAAAACAAAGCTGGCGGCGGAGAGAGAGAGAGTAGAAGATCTGTTCGAATATGAAGGTTGCAAAGTGGGTCGAGGCACCTACGGGCACGTTTATAAAGCTAAGCGCAAAGACGGGTAAGATAACCGTGAACGTTATTGTGTATGCTGACATAAAACTGACCGCGGGATGCATTTTGTGAACACACGCCTCGGTTATGTGCTGAACGGGGCGTTCGATTTGAAGCTCCCCGAAGCGATAGCCCGTGTCTCTGTGTTTTTGTTTTCATGTAACGCACTCACTCACCAACGGTCCCCCCCACCACCTCCGTCCCCAACCTCAGAGCTCCCCCCTTTCCTCCTCCTCCTCCTCCCCAACACCCCCAAACAACAATGTAAAGCCGCGGTGCTGTTTATTTTCTGACAAGTGTCCTGTCGGCGGTCGCAGCAAAGGTAGCTTCTATCGTATTCTATCGTCACTTCGCGCAATAGTGACACCTGAGCGGCTTTTCTTGGCCCCGTTTTCAGCATCGTGGAGTGCCAAACTTTTTTTCTCCCTCTTTCTGACACACATTGTTTTCTCTGCCATTTGCTGCTTACACTCACTGACAAGCATATGACAGCGTGTGACCACGATGTATATATCAGCAACAGAAAGCAGGACAGATATGTTCTCACACTTCTGCTCTGCTGTGCCAACGGTGTCAATGTTCCTTATGCAAACTGGCAAAATCCCAGTCCAAAAAAGTGGCAGAATCTGGCCAGTGCGCTTCCTATTTGAATACTACAAGTTTCATTTGTACGATAGCCAAAAGGTTAATCACTCTGATCTAAAAATTACATTCAAGAAAAGCAGCGCTAACCAAGGGCACAGTGCATTAAGAGCTGATTTTGCTGCCCCCGTCTTCCAAATGCTTTGTCATAAAGTTTTCTCGAAATCTGAGATGGAGAAACTAATTTTAAGCATTAGATGAACTTATTATACAGATGGCCCAATTTGACTTCTTCCCATGTATTACTCGTTTTAGAATAGAATAGAGTAGAATGCCTTTATTGTCACCATACAGTTGTACAGTGAGATAAAGAGCATGTATAAAAATGTACAAATATACAATCCGGTGTAAGAAGAAAAAAGTAAATATGTAAATAAATTGTTTTTTCCAGTCATGGCAGATGGCTGTCTCTCCTTGAGCCTGGTTCTGGTTTCTTCCTGTTAAAAGGGAGTTTTTCCCCCCACTTTTTGCTCAAAGGGGGTCATTTGATTTTTGGGTATTTTTTCTATATTACTGTGGGGTCTTTAATCTTACAATATAAAACATCTTGGGGTGACTGATGTTGTGATTTGGCGCTATATACATAAAATGGAATGGAATGGAATTGTCAGTGTTGTTATAGCAAAGCTAAACACTGTTTTATTACCAGTAGGAACAGTATCACTCCAATTAGATCCAACCTAAAAGGAATGTCACAGGGAACAGCTAGCTTTTCCACATTTATAATAGCCATTATCAAGTCAATATTCATAACTGGTTAAGAATACACATAAAACAGTTGTTTTTTGTTCATGTTTGTATAGCTATGGTTATAAAATGTCTGCACCTCCATGCACTTGTATTTTAAATATATTTTGTATTTTTCCAAAGAGATTAAAAAACATGAAATAAAGTTAAAGCTTTATTAGCTTTATTTCTTTCAACGTTTTGTCTGTATTGCTGTGATAATGCTAATGTGGCCATAACCTCTATAGACAACTCAAATAATGCAATTATTATTAACATTTTAAAATCTTTGTAATAGAATCAAATTAAAATTTACCCAAGCTGTTAAAGAAGGCCTTTTCTTCTTCACGTACTTTGAGAATTGATGTATTAAAAACTTTTACAATCACTCAGTGTCTTTAAAATCTGAAACAGTTCAGGTTTGTAGATCAGTCAGTTAGACTGTTTCTTCCTCACTGTGTTTGTTAATATTGCAATATTGTAACTTTATCAGCAGTGTAGATATGTTGGATTTAAACAAAGTGAGCCTAAAAGCAATGTTAAGCTACTTGACTCTAGTTTAGCCAATAGTTCGATGGAGTAACATAAAGTAGACAATTAACCACTGGTATTGCTTTAGTTAGTGGGCCGAGTTCATGTAAAACTAAGGGGGCATTAGTGCTTTCCAAACTATAAACTCAATAATAAATTCTTTCATCTTTAAAAAAATGATCAGTGTTGCTGCTTTGTCAGGTGTAACAATTAAGTTTAACATCCAGACATCCATGAAAACAGAATTTATTACATTTAACGGAGTTAGAAGTTAGCAGGAAGTTAGCTTGCTAGTTTCCACGTAAACATGATATAGCATGTTCTGAATGAGAGATTTCTGAAAAAAATAAAACTTACAGCTCTGCCATCACTTCCAACATAAATGAAGACAAAACTAAACAGCAGTGACTTTTGTAGGGTTAGTGAAGTTGGGCTAGCTGGTAATGATGTGCTACGCAATCGCTAGCAACACAGCTATGTTAGCATTATGTAAATACAGTGAAGCTGGAGGATGGATGCTAACTTTTTTCCACCTAATAGCATCCTGCCAAGCAATCGCATGGCAGGATGCTGTAAACAGACCAAACTTCAGTCAGGAGAACAACTGCGATAATCCATCCACAATATGAGGTTAGTCATTAATATACTGCAACAACATGGGAATAGAGCAGCTGCGAGAGAATTCCGCACTAATGAATCAATGGTACGGAAGTGGAGGAAGCAAGAAGAATGAGTTGAGTAAAATTTGACGGTTTTGTTTTGCTTAATGCGCCTTATAATCCGGTGCGCCTTATGTATGAAAACAGACACGTTCATCGACAGTGTGCTTTATAATCCAGTCCGCCATAAGGTCTGAAAAATAAATGTATCCAGGCCCAAGACGAGAACTTAAAATACTGAATGTGGTCGTTGTTTCTGTTCTTGACAGAGCTGTCGTCATTCAGAAATTTGACAGACAGTTGGATTTGACCCTCAGAGGATGAAAGGCCCTGAGAATAAAGAGCGTTATAAATTCCCAGAAATGTGAACCTGTTAATGCTTAGCAAAGCCTCCTTTTCCCAGTACCCAAAATGTTACTCATGACTTACCCCAGTTTTGCAGCAGAATTTAAAGTAATGGATAATTTTCATTGTTTGCTGCTTTCTCAACTTAAGAAAGCTTAAGGAGCCTAAGGGGCCTTGTTGTCATGTGAAAATGCTGTGTCTTGGAAGTATAAAGATCCAGTTTTGCTTTTTTTACAAGTGGAACACATCCCACCAACAGCTCACTGTGTCTTAATAACTACATTATAGATAGTTATATCAGTGATGGATGCATGTTTTTACAGTGCCATAAATTTAGTCCTGGAAGGAATTCATGGTGCATGTATGGGTCAGGAAGTCATTGAAATTTCTTTTAACCGTGACTGTTGGATAAAGAGCATAAAAAGCAAAGTTTTGTTCATTTCTTTATAGCTATTTTTAGTGCTTTATCTGTCTTGCTTCTGGTCAGCTCCTGTGAGTTGTACCAGTGGGTTCATTACAAGTATCCTGTATGGCTTTTGAGAACAGACCACTAGTTGGTACAATCTGTTGTGGGTGTACTGTGACAATGTTCTATGAAATCACAGCAGTTCAGGTCCAAAGAAACCTTTGTTCAGACATTACCAGTGCTGATTTTCTCTGACTTGTGTATGTGTGTATTTTAAGGGTGTTATTATCTGCTAAGAGCCAGTCACCAGGGCACCAGATCGCAGCTCCAAAATTTGAGGAAGACGTGAACCGTAGAGACATTATGGCAGAGGCAGACGGAGCTGGCTCACGCACACCATCACAAGATCTGTGCGCTGGCCTGAAGGGGCCTGAGCAGATAAGCCAACACTCGCCCTGTGGGTGTTGTGGGGCAATGTATCGCCGATTTGAAAAGGATTGATAGTCAGTGGTGTCTCCTCAGAGTGCTCTGGGCCTGCTTCATAGAAACCAAAAGAACAATCACTTCAGGGATTGTTATGAATATAATAAAATATTACAGTTTGCATATTCTCAAAAAAGTCATTAAAAATAGAATGTAGTGATTTTTCAGATCACATTGAATTCAGAATCCAGCATAGAATTATGATATTTACACGGAGACATTTTGCTCTTTCATGAAGAAAATGTTCATTTTTAATTTGATGGATGTGTCTCACAAAATTACTGTATGGGCCAAGGAGCTCCAGAGATCACTGTCTGTGAACATAGTCCGCCGTGCAATCTAGACATACAGGTTAAAGGTCTGTCATACAAAAATGTATCCATATGTGAACATGGTGCAGAAATGCAAATAATAGTGAGTGTAAAACTGTGACTCTTTCTTTGACTGTCTACGGTAGATCTGACAGTGCCTGTTTGGGCTGTGAATAACTGATATTTATTGAAGTTACTGCTGATGTGCCACATGGCTTAAACCCTCCTGCTTTGGAGATGATGCATATACTGTATGGATATATGCGCATATATTTAAGACACTCAGAAAAAAGACAACGACCAACTTGGAGAAACAACCACAACACCGACCAGTTACCATGGATAACACTGAGTAGGGTGTCTCATTAGTAACGTCTAGCAGGCAGATCATGAGGGACACACCCAAGTTTTGTTTTGTTTTTTTAAACTCTCGATCAAACGTTTTTTAGAATTAAATTTTTTTGTCAAATTGCCAAATACACTCGATAGTTACAGTTACTTTTGCTTATCAAGTCAACACAAATGTTTCAGTTAGGACAGAAAAAAGCATGTGGAATAATTTAGCTAACAGGGGTGGGGTTACAAAAAACTATACAGCATAGTATTGCAATATTTTGTATGGCAATAATCTATTAAATAGGGATGCCAAATATCAGTGTTATGAATGAATTAAAATACTTGGGGAGTACTTCAAAGAAGAGGTTTCATCTCACGCACAACCATCCAATTTAATGTAAGTTTGTTTGACTAACGTTACGTTACATTAAATTGGCTCAACTGAAAAACCATCAGACACTGGACACAGTTATTCAGAGCAAGCCAATGGCTCAGTCACACACATGCTAGAACAAAAATGGTGGCTTTTTTCACAATGTGATAACGCACTTGTCATTGTTGAAAGATACAACAAAATTTCATTTGGTGACCAGCAACCAATGGTAATGGTTTTCCAAAGCTTGAGTTTGTTGCACCTTTACCGCCACTTTTGAATAGATTGTGACATTGACAGTTTTTTGAAGTCATAATTTGCACTTTAAATGTCGATAATGTTATTAATAAGGTTACAAATAACAATAGTCTTGTATTGTGAGTGAAGTGTTGTAATAATATTGTATTTTGGGATATCTGGTAATTCTCACCTCTATTAGCAAACATTCATAATTAGTACTGCAAGCATGGAGGGCACTATGGGCACTACATAGACTACAGAAGACGCACACAGTAGAAATAAACACTATATATGTTAATAGTGTAATGTGTTTAAGTGGGGCTTCCTTAATCTATAAAACAGTGAACCTGTTTCATAATCACTTTCATCTTCTGACATAAAATTGAAATTTCAAGCATATAGATTTGGGTTTACAGTGTTTGGATCCATCTTTATATGTCAAGCTCTGTAAGTTTGTCCTGGTTTGCATTACGGAGTGGATAAACTGTTTTATTGAGTAAATTGATTATATTAATGTGCAATTTTTTTTTTATAGACTAAAGGATTAAATGTTTGAGCTGTTTTGAGCATCTGTGCAGCTTAATTAGTATTAGAGATGTGTGCCTGAGAGCTCCAGTTAATCCGTGACCATCTCCAATGCAAATTAGGCTGAAAAGTGTTTGATATTACCACCATGAGGACCTCTTTGATCTGTGCAGGCTGCTCACTGAATGAAGTTGTTATTGGACACTGTCCACTGAGTGTGTTTACATTTTAATCATGCCTCTTTGCTTATTGTAAACAGACTTATGAATCCTTTTAGCCCTTATTTTCTCCACTGCTCTGTGTTCAGGCTGGGCTTCCTTAACCGGAACTCTGCTTATCTCAAATAATCAATATTGGTCTGCTGAAAGTGCTCGGCCCTGCGGGCTCACATTTCACTTATTAACTGATTTTCATGCTCAAATTTGATGCACAACGGCAAATGACTACCTTGCAAAAAGAGGAAAATTGCCAACTGAGAGCTTTGGAAGTGTCAGTGTGTAGTTTGAGTTTTCGTCCCTGCATCAAGGGGAATTTCACTGGGGGCACTTATCCAGACCTAGGGAGCACTCCTGCAGGGAACTAATGGATCTTTGCTGCCAAAAGCTATCACTAATAACATGGATTCCTCTATGGCAGTTGTGGAACTTGAACCACAGGATGTTTTTTATGCCCTCTGCTGTCCTCATCCTCCTTGCAAAACACCTCCTTTACTAATCAAACCCTCAAAAAGCCTTTTTGTTGGCCATCTTCTAATATTCTTCATTTTCTCTTTTTCTCACCACAGGAAAGATGAGAAGGAGTATGCACTGAAACAAATAGAAGGCACTGGAATATCAATGTCTGCCTGCAGGGAAATTGCTGTAAGTTACCGTTTTCATTACTAAGGCCTTACATGACCATGTTGTTCTCAGGCTCTTTAACCTCTTAACACCCACTAAGTCATTGCTTAGTGTAAATGTTATGTCAAGGATATTTTTGTTTTAGCTACTTGCTAAATAGGCTAATTTTCAGAAACTAGAAGATGTCACATTTCGCATGGAGTTCAATACATTCATTTTGGCAACACGATTGTTATGCCAAGACTGTGTCCGTTTGGTCTACCTTACAATATAAAATGCCTTGAGGCGACTGTTGTTGTGATTTGGCGCTATATAAATAAAATTGAATTGGTTAATCCAAACAGACGTCCATTTTTATCATAGATGAAACTTGTGAAAAACCCTAACCCTAAATGGGTTGCCAGCGACCTGGTAGATGTCGAGATGACTTCATTTGCTGCAGAGATAAACATCAGCAAATATCACAAAACCCTGTGAAGACTTACTCAATATTTTCAAGCAGACTCTTTAGTCTGGATGTTTCTTTTAGCATTATATATAGAATAGTATCAGAGTTTGTCCAAGATGAGGATTT